AGGGGAAAGGAAAAGAGGGAAAGAAAAAACTATGAGAAAAGAAAAAAAAAAGGAAATAAAATCTATGTAAATAGGGAAGGGTGGAGGGGATGAAGGGCACACAGGTAATGGGGAAAAAAATAAGAACCAAGATATATCATGTACAGGTACAAACACCCAAAGATAAATGTAAGCAAATTGTATACCTAAAGTGTACCAATAAAATGTACCAATAAAATTAATTAAAAAAAAACAGTACAGTGCTGGCACAAAAATTGACATGTTGGCCAGGCATGGTAGTGCACACAATAATCCTAGCACTTGGGAGGCTGAGGCAGGAGGATTGCCCTGAGTTTGAGGCCAGCCTGGGTAACATGGTGAATTCAAAACTAGCCCGGACTACACAGTGACATCCTATCTAAAAAATAAAAACTAAAAACCCAACACGTTGACCAACACATTAGAACTGAGAATGCAGAAACAACCCCATGCACATTTAGCCATGTGATATTTGACAATGGAGCCAAAACTATATGCTGGAGAAAAGATATCCTCTTTAACAAATTGTGTGAGGAAAACTGGTTATCCACATGCAGAAGAAGGAACATAGAATCATGTCTCTCTATCCTATCCTAAAATCAAATCAAGATTGATCAAAGACCTAGATATAAAAAAAACACTTAATCTTCTGAAATGTAAAATTGGTAAAACTCTTGAAGGCATCGACATAGGCAAGGACTTTCTGAGCAGAATCCCAATTGCACAAGAAATAATATTAAGAGTCAACAGATGGGATTGTATCAAATTCAAACGCTTCTACACAGCAAAAGAAACAACCAACAGAGTGAAGAGATAGTGTACAGAAAACTCACCAGAGGAGGTGAGCTTGGAGCCAGGCTCGCAGTGGTGTTCACTGCCATCCCTGACATTAAATGCAACCCCATTCAGGTTGTATGGGTTGTGTGACCTTGAGTCCCTCCCCTGTCCCACTCTGACCCTGATGGTATGTCTGCAAAGGTAAAGATGCGGCCATTTTTGTCGACTAACAGAGAGACTAGGGTAGGAAAAGAGTATCTTTCCATACAAAAATCTGAAAACGCATGTTGTGCTTGGAGACGATAAGATCAATGTTCTGAAAAACACGTGAAACAGCTGGAGATGAAGAGAAGGGCACCAACTGCACACCAGAAACAGGGAGTGTGATCTCTTGGATGAGTTTGCATGCCTGTGCAATTTCAAGCAAATAACAGGCTATGGAAATAATCTCATAGACTTTTGGGTCATATACTTGCCATAAAGAGAGTACCAGTGTAGAAGCTGGGACAAGTCTCTCCTTGTTTTACTTCAGGTAGTTTCACTTCACTTACTGAAGGCACACTTGTTCAGCACTTCCCTTGCTCCTTTGCTTTCTGGTGGCAACCAATTCCCTACTCAAAAACTTGAAGCCAACCCCAAGCACCTGGGGATAGCTTGCTGCCACTGCGAAAGAACCATCTCTTCTGGGAGCTGCTTCACTCTTTCACAACATCTTGCTCCATGGCATGCCCAGTGTCCAATTCTATCTACTAGTAAAAAAAAAAAAGAAAGACAATCCAGGTGTGCCCTTCATTGCCAGAGAATTTTAAATTGACAGCAATCATCATGCTGACAGCCCCACTGACAAGTGCAGGAAGCACTGGAGAGAAAGAGATTGAGTATAGACTAGTGTCTTGGCAAATATATCAGAACATTGACACTCCATGCACTGGGGAGGGCTCAGTTTCCAGAGGTCTTGGAAATCCTCTCTCCAGAGGGGCACAGGCACTCTGGGGGATGATGCCCTCAGATATGGACAATAAATAGTTCCACCATATTTGCATTTTTTCAGTTAAACAAGCAACAGGTACAAATGGCAGTTCCAAGACATTGCATAGGTACATAAAAGATACCCAATGAATGTGATAAATGAATAAATGTATGGTTAAATTAATAGTTGTTCAGTTTAGCAGATGAAGAGTATCAAGGGGCAATGACCAGGCAAGTGGGGAAGGGAATGGTGGCACAAAGAGGAGTATGCGTTTGTATGGAAGGCAGAAAACCTACTTAGTAATAATTATTATTAATAATAATCAGTAGTAGTATCAATTATGGTTGCAATTTCTTTTCCAGGGCCACTTGCCATTCTGCTCTGCAGAAACCATTTCATTCCCCTGATAAGCGCGCACACACACACACACACACACACACACACACACACACACAAAGTGCAGACACTGCATTTGTCAAGGTTTTCCAGAGAAACAGAATCAATAAGACATATACATATTTTATACAATTTATTATAAGGTACTTGCTTGTGAAATTATGGAATTATTTATTATAAGGAAGTAGTGTCAATGGGAAACTTCACTCACATAAACTTAACCATTGCAGTCCTGAGAACTTTTTTCAGAAACAGAAGCCAAATATCCCAATTTGTCCTTCCACATAACAATTTTATGGCTCGACAATGGTAAAGAGAGTTTCTTTGTGTGTGACTTTTTTGAGCTTGGAGCTGATACTGAATTATTTTTTGTTGAGAAAAATCTCTCTCAATTATTACTGAATTATTATTGAGTTATTATTGAATTTAACTTTTAAGTTTGATGTTTCTTAATGAATTCAACCTAAAGTTGCAAGGTAAAGAGTGCTTATATGAAATGTACTGTGGTAAAGTCATTTCAATGACAGCAATGTTCCTTGAAACAAAGTAATGTGAAGCTATGTTTTGTACTTCCCAAATTGTCAAAAGTTAAAACAAGTGAAATCTCCATTCTCACACAAATGTGCAACGGGTATATTGCCCAAGCTCAGACTACATTTCTAGCATTTTTCCCAGATGTAAATGGGAAGGAAATTTCCATATTTCAAACTCACTGAATTGTACATTTAAGAAGCTTCCACCTACCATGAATTGTAAGTAATTAATTTGCAATGTAATGAGATAGAAAAAGGCAAGTACCAGGAGAAGAGACTAATAGAATTCTATAAATGCCTTCCAAGAGATTAATATGCTCAATTAAAATAATTTGATTTATATCAGCATTTGGAAGTACTAGGCTGAATCAGGAGGATCACTGAGAGTTCAAGGCCAGCCTGGGCTACATAGTGAACTCAAGGCCAGCCAGAAGTACATAGCGAGACCCTGTCTAAAAGAAAAAAAAAAGAAGAAAGAAAAGAAAAAGGAAGTACCTATCTCTTTAGTTGATATTAGTATGTGCCAATATCTACTTGTACAAAGATATTTTCAAAGATGAAGCTCATTAAAGCTTCATTGCTGATCAGCAGGTGAATATTTACAATTTTGATGACAGAGAACACACTGAACCCCAAGTAAGCAAAATGTTATTCTAAAACAATCCCATTAACGTTGTTAGCAAACCTGTATTATTTTTAAATGTATGCAATTACAATTGTAGTTTTCATTTCAACAATAAAATATTTGAGGAAATTTGTTTTCTGTCCTATTATAGAAGTACTTTAATACAACCTCCCTTTTGCCTTCGGGTCCTCCATTAAATGTTTATTTTCTGCCCTTTACAGATGGTTCCCCAACTCAGGGTGGCATCACTTTGCACCACTTTTTTTTTGGTCAACAATTGTAAAAGTGAAAGGGTAGGACTGGTGTGGACCTAAAGGGTAGCACTGGTTTTTACCGCCTCACTCCCCCCGCCCAAGGATAGGTTATTCTGAGTAGTCCTAGAATGCAAGAGCCTTGATCATTCATTGGATGCAGGGCATGTCAATCTTAACTTTTCAACAAATGAACTTAGAGCTTGCTACGACCCTCATGATCCCACCCTCCACCACCTGCCTTGTGGTAATTTTCCCGCCCAGTCCAGATCGTCAGAGACACCATTTTGAGTGGCTGCTTTCCTGATCGCTCTCCTGCCCTTCCCATTTCGAGGCTTCTCCAGGCACCAAGGTAGACTCTTGTACCGTCAGGAGTGGGCTCTCCTGCCACCCCAACCCCACACCCCCCTTGGGCTCACTGGCATTGGCTTCTTCTCAACAGCTCCCTGTCAACTGCCAACGGTCTCCAGCGAGTGGCCGCCATCTTCGCCGCTGGTGGCACCGTAGCCTTAGCGCAGGCCCTTTGAGGCACTGGCTGGTGTCATGTCTGCCTCAGGGAATGAGGACCCGACCCCAAATGACCCGGATAGCCCGGTGAGCCCGGCGGTAGAGTGGGCTGTGGCAGCCGGAGTGCGTGAAGGGAAAGGGCCTGACTCTGGCACGGGTGGGGGCGGCGCGGCCCAGGCGACCTGTGAGGCCCAGGTCACAGAACCTGGGTTGGCAGGGGAGGTAGTGGGGCCCGAGGCAAGGTCCCTTTGCTTCTCTTCACTCCCCTCGATGGGGCCAGCGGAAGAGGAGCCGCAGGAGGAGGTGGAGGAGGAGGTTAGGGACTGCGGGGCGAACCAGGTCGTGGACGCCCGGCAGTTCCCCTTGGTGAACTTCCAAATCAGCTTCCTGGATCTGGTCCGCTCCCACCTGCAGCGCATCTACTATAAGAACCACGTCCTGATCCACCCCTACTGGAACGCCCTCATGCTGCAGCCCCGCCCTCCCCGCTCCGCCTCCCACCTCGGCCCCGGCCCAGACCCTGACCCCGGCCCCAGCGAGCTGCCGGTGCTCCACATGCTCCCCTGGCCCAGGGGCGTGGCGCCGCGCCAGGACGAGGGCCAGGACGAGGACGAGGGCCAACCAGAGGCGGTGGTCTCCATCCCCGACCTCGAGGAGGGCGACCCCACCGCTGTGCTGGCCTTGACCTCAGAGGAACCATTGAAGGAGACAGCAAAGAGCAGAGAGCAGATGGCGGACTCCAAGGGTGAAGAATGGATGGAAGGTGGGGCGACACTGGCCAGGAGAGGGGACCGCATGCTGGGGATAAGAGGCGGGAGATGGGCCGTGGCCTTAGCTTAGGCGGAGCTGTTGGCCCTGCTCCGTGCTGGCCATGGGTGGGGAAGCAGTGGGTCGAGCCCTGCTCCAATTTAAGGCTATTCTTAGTTACTTGAGTCTGCTACTCCTTCTGAGGGTAGAGTAAGATGCTGTTACTGGTTATGAATTGGGCTGTTTTTTCCATGAGTATCTGCTCCAAAGGTCTGTATTATTTTTCACTAAAGCAGTAAGTGAAAATCTGTTGGAAAACCGGAGAGATGATGACGAAGATGTTGGAGGTGAGGAAGAGAAAGAAGCAAAGGAAGAAAGTGAAAAGGAAAACAAAAATCAACAAGAACCTGAAAAGGACCCAGACCCAGCAGGTGGTAGCCTGGGAAAAGCCAGGTATCTGTCTATAGATTTAAATATCACTCAAAATTCCTGGTATTTATCTGTGACAGCTTTAAGAAAAAATTGTAGTAAAGTAAGAGAATGTTTATTTAAAACTAAGTAAAAACACCATTTTACCCACTTAGAATGTTACTGGTAAATTCATATACCTAGTAATATAAAGTACAGTGCATTCTAAAATAATATTTCATGACTACTCATCTGTCCTTATGAGGTCTTTTGTCCTCTAGCTGTAAGACTGCTAATGGGTGGTAAATGCATCAGACCTAGTACCTGAGACCACTATCTGTTTAGAAAACTGTTGCCAGAAGCAACTGCTACAGTGCCTGGACCAGGCACTATTTGGACCTTCATTTCATTACTTGGCCACAGAAATGCAGTCTTCCTGTACTAACCAGGAGCCCCAGTGTCTTTTAGGATATGACTACTGACAGCAAAAGGTTAGCAACTTCAAGTAGGACCATATTTAATAGTTAATACCTAAATACTTGTTTAGTTGTATATTTTTGCATTTTACATCAGTCGGAGGAAATAGACTATGATTCTTTATCACTGAATGGTATTAAGTATATCTTGTCTTTGAGTATATTTATTTATTTATTATTTGGTTTTTTGAAACAGGGTCTTGCTATGTAGTTCAACCTGGACTTGAACTCAATATGTAGCCCAGGCTGGCTTTGAACTCACAGTGATCCTCTTGCCTCAGCCACCCAAGTGCTGGGATGACAGGCATGCACCATCACGCCCCAGCATCTTTGATTATATTTAAATGATCAAATTTTTTCTTTGTTTTTCCTTTTTGCATTTTCACAGCTGTGCATTTCATAGCAGCCTCTTTTTCATATAGTAAGTATAGAACCCACTGGGAGGGCAAGAGAATAGTATTATTTGTGCAACCTGCACAGACTTTTAAAGCTAGAGAGATGTATTTAAATGCCAGAATGGGCTTTCCAGTTAAACAGATAAGACACAGAGAAGACCCTGAGCATTTCTGGCATTAGGCAAGATGGGCATAAGGTTGGTGTGATCACGTGATTGAAGTCCTTGGTTGCACGAGTACACTGATGTCCAAGAGCTTGAAGTACAAGAAGGAAATGGATTGTTTTTTCTACTAATGCAGCGCAAAAGCAACAGACATACATAGAGGCTGACTATTTTCTTAGATAGAAAAACAGTTAATGTTACATAATTGGTAATTTTCTCTCATTTTTATCAGTACTTCAGAAGACTAGAAAGAAAAGGATGAAGAAAGAATCCGACGTGTCACTCTTTTTCGGTTTTTCAGTGTTTAGCTCAAGGGAATCTCATTAACTTCAGCATTAACTTCATTCCAAAGTTTATCATCCCAATATGATGCCTGACTTTTCTCTTTATGTGTTACAGATTCACTGATAGGATTTGTTCAAGTTAAAAATAAGTTTGTTTTAAATGGCAAAGTGGAACTATAGGCAGATCTTTTTGAAAATAACATTCAAATCCGTTTTACCTTTTCTATCTTCATTTGAAATGAATAACTTTCCAACACTTGGTAAACTTATTTTAAATTCTTTTATTGCAGCATAGTTAATTAGAGTGTGAAGTTTAAATTTTTTTCTAAGGAGAGAGATGGATGTCAAGCCTTTCTTTAAAACTAAATTATATGTCATTTAGCCATGTATGGCTACTGAGCATGTAAAATGTGACTAGTCTGATTTGAAATATGCTGTGTGAAAAACTATCTTAATAACTAATTGCATATTGATAATATATTAGGTTAAATAAAATGCAGTATAAAAATTACTTTACCAGTTTTTCTTGAATTTTTTAATGTGACTTCTAGAACATTTAAGTTACACGTGTGGATCCAGTTACATGTCTGCTGGACAGAACTGCTATAGAACGTAGTTTTGAAGGAAAGCTTATGAGATGGCCAAGTTGCCTGGAGGCCACAAGGTGTTGCTGAGCCTGGGCCCAGACTTTGGTTTAGAGGAGTAGCTCTCCAAGTGTTGTCTCTGGACTAGCAGCATCAGCACCACTTGAGTACTTGGTAGAAATGCAAAGTCTCAGGTAACACCAATTACCTCTGAATCAGTAATTTTGTGGTGGGGTGAGTGATCCATCTTTGTTTTTTAATCAGCCCTCCTGGGGATTCTGATGCCCACTGAAGTTTGAGAACTGCTGGTTTAGAACAACAGGGGAAGTAGCTGAAACTCACCTGACGTAGGACTAGCCTTAATTCACTGGCCTGGTACTGTTGTAGACAAACTGAACAGGAAGTGACACAAGGAGCAAAAATCAGGCGATGGCAGCAGAAAAATGCATAAAAGAGAAAGCTGGGCCCAGAGGGATATAAACAAGATACCATACATGTATGCAAATGAAGTCTAAAAGCCAAGCAAAATGTAGTGATTGTGCACACATGTCTGGAGTAACAAGCATGCACATGAGAGATGCACACGAAGGTAGCATGTGTGGGTGTGGTTGGGAAAAATAAACACCTCATTTAGGGTAGGGAAAGAAAGGGGGGAGGTGGATGCATGGATACTTAATAGTATTCTCTATTCATTTGTGTAGGTCTGAAGTACTTCTTAATACAAAATGAAATAAAAAGAGAAAAGGGAGAGAATGGGTTTAACCTCTAGACTTTAAGTGGGGGAAAGGCAGTCATATTTAACCTGAGTAGAGGATCAGAGATCAGAAAGGTACCAAGGTTTGAGGCTAGACTGCCTCATTTTTGCATTTAGTGAAGATTTAGTTGGTGCTATCTTGGTAGCACTGATACTTTCTCTCACCTACTGTGAGATCATGTTTCATATTCCAGTTTATACTCGCATTTTTTAATTGAAGTTGAAATTCACTTTAAAAAATTAACCATTGTAAACATTTCAGTGATGATTAGTGTGTTCACAGTTTTATGCGTCTACCACCTTTATTTAGTCCCAAAACATTTCCATCAGATTCAAACCATATACTCATTAAGAAGTCACTCTCCATTCCCCCCTCCCTTCACCTCGTCTCTATTGAATTACCTATTCTGGACATTTCATATAAATAGCTTTTTAATCTGGTTTATCCACTTAGCATAATGATTTCAAGATTCATTCACATTGTATCAGTACTTCATTCCTTTTTATGGTAAAATAACAGTCCATTGTATTTACATAATGCAGTTTGTTTATCCATCCTTCTGTTGATGAATAGTTGGGTTATTTCCACCTTTTAGCTACAGTGAATAGTGTTGGTATGAACATGCAAGCACTTATGTATTATTTATATGTGCATATATCTACTCCCCTCACCATGCCATCCCCTGGATTATGAACTTTTGAATGGTTGAGAGCTTAAAGGGTTTTACTTTCCCCTCCCAAAGCCCTAGGCACTGAGTTCTCCACGTACTAGGTGTTCACTTGGAGTTGATTAAAGTGAAGTAAATGTAACACTTCCACAATCCGTTATATGGTCATCACTGTTGATGCTTTAAAATGTACCACCATACAGTATTCCTTATGGAATACTTAGACTTCTATAATGAGACAAATACAGGGCCCCTTGTCACTATTACTTAAATGGAAAGGGTAGGCTAATAGACAATTTCTATATAGTGTGATTTGAGGGGTTCCAAACTGGTTTCCATTTATTCGTGTTTATGTTGTATAAGTTAGTCATATAGTATTGTTCCCAGAACTAAGCAAGAAGGACATATTTCCCGAGCTCCAAGTTTTAGAGGCTCTACTTTGGCTCGCTTCTAGCCATGCTCCTCTCCATAGGGCCAGAAACCTATGGGAACAAGGGCTATTGCCCTGCCAAACCATCCTCCTGAATAGTTCCAAGCCTGATGCCAGGACCTGCATGCTCCTCCTGGAACTTCCCTTGGGAAAGCTGACTTTCCTACCAGGATATGTGCTCCTAGACTTAAAGGGCAGGTGTATGCCTGGAACAGGGCATGGGCCTGGTCTGGAAGCCAGGCCAGGGGCAGAGGAGGGGAAGCAAGAGAGGTAAAGGAGAAACATGAGACTTTAAGGAATATGAAAATTCTGAAATCTAATTTGGCCTTTAAGGCCATCATGAAAGAACATTTGTCACGGAAAGAGATAAATCATGAAATAAAACATGTTATATTAGTTGATTTAAATATGGATCCCCAACTGAACTCATGTTCTGAACCTGGGAAAATATCTGGCTGGCCAGGCTAAATATCTGCTCTAGAGCCCTTCTCCCTCACTCACTACACGCCATACTGGGGGCAGTGGTCCCTGTTTTTGGAAATGGCTTGTTCCAGGAATCCAATCATGCCATCAGATTTAGACTTAGTTCCAGAGCCAGGCTGGAGTACAACCGGCAAACATGAAGTCCCATTTATTTACCCATCTGCACCCCACACACGTACCTGTCACTTTGTTCTCCAGGTGTTCGTATCCAAAACCTCTCCAGCAGCACTTTCCCCATAGCAGTTCCCTCTGGAAGCCACCAGCTCGGCAGCACACATGCACGGAGCCCTTCCTGTGCAGCACAGCCTCAAAAGGACGTTGTGCTCCTCTGGCAGCCCTCGGGCCTGAGTTCTCAGTATGCTATTAAATGTCCCTCCCCACGTCACAGACAGACCAAAACAGACTACAGAACAGGTTTTATTGAATTTATTTGCTTTGCATAGATCAAAAATCAAGAAAGCTAAAAGAAGCTGAAAATTTACCAGAATACGCCCCTAGACATTAAAAAAAAAAAAAAAGTCTTCACTAGAAACACAGCTTTAACAGTGGAAAAGAAATCATTAATGGAATTCTCAGAGTGAGAATAACCTAAAAGAGGTCTACTCCTGAGAAAATACCAGGATATCTGAGTAAAGAGCATCTACATAAAGGAACTGTTCTCTATGGGAATATAAAGGGAATAAAATCCAGTCAGTCAAAAACCTAGCATTATCAAAAAGATAAAGATACAGTATCAGGAAAAATAGATGTTTTGTAGAGAAAATGCAAAACCCCACATTTGGTTGACAGTGTCACATGATACCATCATCAGCAAAACCCAACACCAAGTATTTAAATTAACTCTGAGATCTCATTGTCTCCCTAGACTTTTTTGCACGGGGTAGTATCCCACTCAGAATACAAAGGTACAATTACAAATCAAGGCCCACATTTTTGTTTGAACAAAGTAGCCCCAAAGTGACAGGCAGATATGCTAATAGCTACCCTGAGAAGTCACTTCTGTGTCTCTAGGGAAATGAGCTAGGTTTGCTGCCCAGGCATCTGAACATCTAAAGGGAACTCTCTCTCTCTCTCTCTCTCTCTCTCTCTCTCTCTCTCTCTCTCTCT